TGGTGTCGCTGATGCTTTGAAAATAGGTATTTCTTTATACAGCTTAAGAGATCCGAAGATGCGATCAATTTCTGTAAAATTATATGGAAATCACGATCTATTATATTGATTGTCATGTCCAAGCCATCTTGCGCTGTTTTTTAGCCGACCATACCAACAGGTATGGTAGGCTATTAAGATCGGCAAAAAAAGTTTTTTTAATTTCACTCAAAATGGGTTATTTGGGTTATAAATGACTTAAATACAAAATATTTTCATGGTGTCTGTCTGTCCGTCTGTCTGTAACACGATAACTCAAAAACCGCCAAACCGATTTTAACCAAATTTGGCACAAAAATACTGTGGTACCCGAGAATCTGGCTATTAGTTTTTGGTGGGAGTGGGAGGTTGGCAAGGAGGTTAAAAATTTCAAAAATTTCATTTTTTTAAATCGTTAAACTAATTTATCATGCGCTTATCATGCATTAATAAGTAATAAAATCATTTTAAGAATTCTTTCAGTGAATATTTAGAAAGAATCTGAATGTTTTACACTAAAGACGAAATAAATACTCAGGGTATTTATGGTTATCGCTGCTCTCTGCCGATGATACGATGCTTTAGCAACATTTTTCTTCTGCAAAAGGCATCTAAAAATATATCAGGCTGAGACTTACATATTGTATAAATATTGTAGTATATTGGTTATTATTTGACAATCAAGCGGCCACTAAGCAAGATACTATTCTATTTTCTACCTGGAATGCTGTTACTAGTGCCTAGAAACTGACCAAGTCCAAAGCGCGAACTTTTTCTTTTCAAAAGCGGCGTACTGATGAGTACTGATGACTGTACACCTTCTCTTTTGTCTCTGGAACATACACTAACAAAAAAGGAACTTGTTTCAGAAATACATGGACCAAACTCTTCGGTTTCATAAATACATAAAATGTTTAGTTGAGCCAATCAAACATCGGTTTAGCGGTTTTTGAGTTATCGTGTACAGACGGACACACAGACGGGTAGACAGACAGACAGACACCATGGAACTATTTTGTATTTAGGTCATTTATGACCCAAATAACTCATTTTGAGTGAAATTAAAAAAACTTTTTTTTGCCGATCTTTATAGCTTACCATACCTATTGGTATGGTCGGCTAAAAATTGGAAAAATTCCTTTACTTTGAAACTAAAAGAACTGCCTACCAACTTTTTATTAACATATTTTAGTATGGGCGGCTATACGTGCCTCCCGGCGCCAATTTTTTTTTCTATCATACGGTATTTTTGTACAAAATCGGATAAAATACAAAAATAAAATATAATATCTTTAACTGTGGGTTTAATGATTTAAATAAATTATTTCTTAAAACATTTTATAAAAACTTAAGAAAAAAAAAAACGTAGGTAAAGTTTAAAACTTATACGAAATTTTATTAAATATATAGTACCTCGTATTAAGATATTAAAACATATTATATCCAACATTTTTCATTAAAAATATATTTTTTAAACTGAATTTTATAAACCTAAAAAGTTTATGTGTCCTAACATCGCATTTTGAAAATCCAATTTTTATTTCCTAAATTATAATGACATTAAACATTAAACTAAGCATTGAACCACTACACAATGAATGATTTTGATTACTATACAGGGTGAGTCTTCAATAAGCGCAAATATTTTCAGGGGTGGTATATTTCGACCCCAGGAACGCGTCTTTTGTTTTTTTTTTGCAAAAAAGATGTTGAAAATCGTAGGTACTTTCTATTAAATTTTCTGTAAATTTTAGAAAACTTTTTAGAACTGCCTGTTCACCGCAAATTCTCCCATGGTATAATTTCTTATCTCTGAAATTACCATGGTTACGGCACTAAAAGGGATGAAAAACAGAAGAAATCCGGTGGCTCTCAATTTTTTTAAAAAATAAAAATATATATTTTTTTAATTTTCAAAGTTGAATAACTCGGTTATTTTGGACTTATTTGAAAAACGGTAAAGAGAAAATATGTTTCTTTTATCGAGATCTATTAGCCCTGAAAATATTTGCACTTATTTAAGACTCTCACACTCTGTATATTATTAATATCGCATATAACATCATATCAATTTAGTATATTTTACTAACAAATCTGAATAGAAAATTTTATTTGTTCGTAAGTTTTTAGTCTTGTATAAAATAATCTTATCGTGTATCAAAATTCCTGGATTATCCGATTTAATAAAAAAATACTAGATTTTAAAAAGTATTTATAAATCCTATAAAAACCAGATATTTCACGCCTAAATAAAGTAGCTAAAATATTATTGGAAGGTAATTGTATAATATAATCAGTAAATTTATTATTTTAAAAAAGTGGAAAATTGGTTTGGTTTGGTTTGGTTTGGTAAAAAGATATATTTTTTTTTAATTTTCAAAGTTGAATAACTCGGTTATTTTGGACTTATTTGAAAAGCGGTAAGGAGAAAATATGTTTCTTTTATCGATATCTATTAGCCCTGAAAATATTTGCACTTATTTAAGACTCTCCTCTCACTCTGTATATTATTAATATCGTATATAACATCATAACAATTTAGTATATTTTACTAACAAATCTGAATAGAAAATTTTATTTGTTCGTATGTTTTTAGTCTTCTATAAAATAATCTTATCGTGTATCAAAATTCCTGGATTATCCGATTTAATAAAAAAAATACTAGATTTTAGAAAGTATTTATAAATCCTACAAAAAGCAGATATTTCACGCCTGAATAACGTAGCTAAAATATTATTGGAAGGTAATTGTAGAATATACTCAGTAAATTTAATATTTTAAAAAAGTCGAAAATTGGTCATGTATTAAACGATTGTTTCCAAATGTTTTTTTATTTAAATTAGATATTTTCTAAAAGAAATTATTATATCTGTATTTTATTCATAACTCACCGACTTAATACAATAGCACCTTTACTTTCTAAGCTAATTTAATAAAAATAACGAATTTTTTACTCTTTTTTATTAACATGTTATCAAAAAAAATCTCCAGTATATTTAATTTACATTTTACTGACGTAAATGTTAAAAATGTAAGAGATAAAAATATTTTAAACCGTCAGATTAGTAACAAGCTTTTATTATAGATTGAATAAGATAAATTGATGCTTGGCAATCCAGCTAATTAATTGGATAAATACAAATTCTTTACATTTTTATTTTTTATATTCTACCATTCTATATTCTATTAGAAGAATATTTTCAAAAGAATAATATTAAAATATATATTTAATATAAAGTTTTTCATATTAAGTTATGAGACCCTGTTTTTACAATATTGGGCATATTTTATAATAGCAATATCATGTTACCTGTTATATAAAAATTAAAAAACAATACAAATAAAAAATTTTGGTTATTGGGAAGGCTCAAATAAAACAATTATATTCTGTGCGAGGTTTTGCGACTGAAGTGGCCTGAAGAAGTGGCAATAAAGTTGGGAAACGTCGCACAGAATACAATTATTGTTTCGTTTGGGTCTCCCCAATCCCCACGATTTTTTATTTCTAAATACTAATTAATGGGAAAAATACATTAATCATAATAAAAATAAATTTATACCTAAAGAAGTTAGTAAAAATAGATTTGGTAAGTTTGGGCGAAAAAATACATTTCTGTACCCCAGAAGCAAACTATGTTAAATCACAAAACACAGTTTTGAAAAAAACGAATTTAAAGTTTTTTTTTGAAGTTATTTCCTAATTACTCGGTTATTTTTAAACCTATGATTGTAATATTTCGTATATGACTAACTTATTTTGAATTTAAATAAAATGTAAAAGAGTTTTTTTAAATAAAATATACCAATGTTTTTTGGAGTGACTCAAATATGCCAATTTTGGACTGGGGGACATAGTTTGTTTCTAGGGTACAGATTTGTATTCATTGTTTTAAACTGTGCCAAAACATACTAATATAATGCATTCACTGATACTAGGGCTAAATTCTTACCAATCTTAATAATAGAAGGTACTGGCAAAATAATCTTTGGTATTAGTGTAATAATATTATTTAATTATTTTACTTAAAGTAAAAAAATGTAAAACCTGCTTACCTTCAAACTGTAAAAGTGAAATTATGATATAAATATGAAAATATGAAATTCCATATTCCATCATGTGAAGGACGTATTTAATATTAACAGTTAACCTTCATTCACTGATAAGAGTAAATATTTATATTAATATCTAATGATTATAGCATGTTACATATAAATTGCATGCCTTATCTGAATTGTTTATTCACTCAGTACCCTCGTTGATTAACAGTGATGTTTTTCTATGTAAACACATAAACATATCTGTAAACTCGTCACAATATAAGAAGTATGAAACCGAAATACGTTATTGAAATTTAAAAATATAGAAATATAATTTAAGGGTATCTATTAAGTTGGCTCTTTTTTATGTATGGTTACTTTGTGTAATAATAATGTTCTTTGAAACCCCTACATTTAAAGCTATTAAAATTTAATAGCTTTATGAAATGTACTATTGTTGTAAATAAGCAACTGAAAAAAATAGTAACATATTCTAAAAGAAAATAAAGACAAACGAAAATAGAATGACCTTAGAACTTTCCTTAATAAAAGTTCATTAAAACTTAATGGGTTTCCTTTAAGTTGTACGCATTCTCAACACCAATATTACATTAAAGTCGAAAAACAAAAAGGAATAAATTATACATAGGTACTTGTATTTTTGTAACCGAATTCTAAATATACATTTTGAAATTTGGGAAAGTTTTTGTTCGATTGATTTGCAGTATGTACCCAATATATTCTAAAATACGTATATATTTTAACAATAACCATTAATAATTACATAATTAAAAAATAATAAGATATTTTGCGTAAAACCGTATGGTATTCCTAAATGCATTAATTAGGAACATATTTATCATAAAAACCAGTCACAATATAAAATAAAAATTATCAAGCTATACAATATAAACAAGCAAAAAATTAATAAAAACATTTCTTACCTAACAAAAGTATATATTAACTATAAAAATCACAAAAACATATTAAACAAAAACATTGGTTTGGCTTAGTGGTGTCATTTTATAACCTCTAAAAAGCGACCTTTTAAATTTGACGTCAAAACAATGCCGTGTTGCCATATATTTTAAAAAGTATTATTAACACGTATAGTATAATGAATTTTTGATAACTATGATTATACGACACAAAACATATTTTCATGAATCTTCTGGTGTTCAAACATATTTAAATTGCTTCCTGAACTTAAGGACTTTTGACTTTAAAGGAAAAATTAAATTAAATATTTATAAGCTTTAAAAGCTAGAAAAAGTCTAGAATGGCATACAGTTTGCTCTTTAAGGAAGTAATAGGATATTTTTCTCATATAGAAAAGACTTCTTCAGGCTCAAAGCAAGGGTTTTGAGAAAATTGAAGGCAATTAGTTTCCTGTATACATTTTTAAAGTCATAAAAAATTATAATTTTTTCAAGTAGACTAATTTTATACTTCTTTTAATTTTACTCCTTCATACGTACCATGAGCCTTTATGTAGAAAGGGGGGGGGGGTTAAATAATGCGACCTTAAAGATCTAATGTATATCCCCCTTTCTTGTCATCACTTCAGAAGTAGCTTTACATCGTTTTTTCGACCATACGGTTATACAGGGAGAGCAAATATTATTAGGGGTAGTACATTTTGACCCCAGAAACACCAAATTTGAATTTTTTTTTAGTTTTTAGTTAAAAAACAATTTGTTGATAATATGGCAAAGGTAGTAGATTAAATTTACAAGAAAGAAATTCCAGAGGTTTTCAAAATTTTGGCAAATTTTTTTTTTGGAAATTTTGAGTGAAATATCTGGGTTATTTTGGATATATGTATTTGAAAAAACGGTAAAGAGAAAATATGTTTCTTTTATCGAGATCTACCAGCCCTGAAAATATTTGCACTTATTTTAAGACTCACCCTGTATAGTATATAGCCTGCAATTTATTCCATTCAATTAATACTCAATGTTTAATTAAAAGTTAATAACAAGGAAAAAACAAAACTATTTATGTTCTATAGTTTATTAGCGTCTAAAGAATAATTATTTCTAGACAAATTGTAATTCTTATAATAATCCAGAATTCATTTAATATTAAATAATAATATTTTTTACCAACCGGGGGTAGTATTGGCCAATCGTCGTATTCTTCTGGTATTTCTGTCTTGATCTCTTATTTTCTTCTCCATTTCAGCATCCGTTAATGTTTCCAAAAATGGAGCCCACTGATCAGATTCAGAAGGAGTTCTAAACAAACCAAACCAAATCAAGAGATATTTTTATGTGCTGATTGTTTAATTTAATATACCTAAAGGGAACTTCAACTGTAGGTAGAGGCGCTTCACTAAAAGCGTAAGTCCTTTGATGCCAGCTTAGTTGCCCCCTTATAGAATATGCAATAGCTGTAACAAATTCACCTCCTAGACCTAATTCTGAACATAATTTCAGAGCAAAATCTTCAGGATTGTTTTGTTTCTCACTCATATCCCATTCAACCTATAAATATTAAAAAGTTACACAGGATCCTACAACAGTGCATCAGGAATCTATGGGTTCTACAGGGACTGGCCTTAGGCACCTGTAGCTCCAATAATAAAAATTTCAGGAATTTTGTTTAAGTACACTAAAGTATATTATGTACATATTAGGATGTATTTAAAATGTTGGTTTAAAAAATACTTATGCGGTTTGAAATTTTGATGCAAAATCTGGCAATACCGCTCAGAAGAAATGTTCCCACCCATACCCACCCAACTTTTTTCTCTTTTTAATACATTTGATTTGCCATTAAGCTGCCTACATCACTGTCTTACACGTTAAAATCCTATACACAGAGTTGACCTGTCCCGATGTGTATATAAAATGCTAATGTTTATCTGTGTCGTCTCTACTGAAGTAACGACTTGCTCTAGAAAGTTGCTTTTTTTACTAAAAGCTAGCTAATTGGCTCTTCTAAAAACTGTCGTCGCCGGATTTTTTGTTTTTCATTTAATTAAAAAAAATAAAAAGTATTTTTTTCCTGATGCCGTGGCGGATGCGCCAGGCTTCAACTAGTATTATAATACCGTATGATCGAAAAAAAACGAATAAAAAAAAATATATAAATTAATAAAAATACAAAAAATGTCATGAAATCAAAACTATGCCAGGTATCTACTATTTACTACAGTTGGTCTGTACTTATTTTCCTATAAATATCATAACCATACAGAATGTTTGTATGAAAATGTATGCCAAAGTTTCTAAAATATAAAATAGTTTATTTTTCGTTTTTCTAAATGAAATAGTATTCCTCTGTTAGATGAAGAACTAAATACTGAAAATATTTTGTATTTAAAGTACCTATTTCAAAAATTTTTTAACTGTTTTGCTGATATAATATTTTGGGTTTTTCAACAGTAATTTGTTATTAAACCCACAATGATTTTAGTCTGGTATTTTGCCTTTGAAGTAGTAAGCTATAATATGTGTAATAAAACAGCGAATATTTGCAAAACCGCCTAACATTTTAACCTACTTTAAATACATTTTTTATATTTTTTAATACTCCAACTAACAAAGAAACAATATACAGGGTGTTTTAATTTGCAACAGATGATTAAAAATAAATGTGTAGTGTCAATCATCTGCTGACGATGCTAACATGTTTAGCGAAAAGCATGTTCAGTGCAAAAGTAAAGTGTTTTGGTGTATTGTGGTAAATAAATTAAACAGTACACTTGTACTGGGCATTTCAAAAAAGTATAAATGCGTAAAGGTAATTTTCTAAATGGAACACCCTGTACGCCTTTGCATTTTTGGCCTCCTTTATGATCACATTATGTTATCCTAAGTTAAGATATTCAGGGTAATATCTCTCTTTCAACATCTTTTTAATAAATTATCTACATAATGTAGAAACACCATGTTGTTTTGATTTCAGGATATTTCATTTTTATTTTAATAATTTTTAAAAAAATGCTTTTATGTAAAACTATCTATGTTAATAAAAGCAATTAATATCACATAAAATATATTACAGTCCTTAAGATGAAAAACAAAATCCTCTATAGTTTTATTCTTCAAAAATCTGTATATTGAGTCACTATGGATTTAACTTTTAAGAGGTATGGATAAAATATTGACTTTTTCCTTACTTGATCAACTAATGATGTATTCCCAACATGGATATTTAATTTCACAATAACTCTTTGATCAGAATTCTCTTCTATAATACTAGGAGGTTCGTTAGGAAAAGCTTCCAGTTGTTGACGGATAGCTTGAGCTATCGCTGGCACAAAAGTAAGAGGATTCAGATCTAAATCGTCACACAAAATCTCAGCAAATTGTTCTGGTGTTATGAGACTTTCTAAAAGAAATTAATAAAAATAAATATTTAGGAAAAAAGTACGTTTAAGCAAACTTACCATTTTTATTCCACGTAAAAGTATCTCTTAGTTTTTGACCTTCAATTTCCATATCAAGTCGAATTGGAACAAGCAATTCGTGCTGACAACCATTCTCTTGATTTAGCTGTGGATCTGTATCATCAAAGCATAGCGGAAATGTTCTTACCTATAAAATGTTATATAATTCTGTAATCATAACTGAAATTGACAAATATGTAATACAAACTTTTTTGGCAGCAACTCTATTACGGTTAATAGGTGTCGCTTGAGGAACTGCATCCAAATGACTTGAATTTGGTAAGGATGGAACCCATTGCAAATTCTTTTTGCTCTTACCTTCGCGTGGTAGAGGAGGATCACTGGTATGAACCGAAACAGCCTTATATCTAAAATTATTAAAATTAAAATATATTAAACAAAGCAATATTTACTTTACTTGTCATCGTTCCCTTCTATAATATCCTCTACTTCTGTAGCTCTAAGTAAAGAGACACTACTTGCAAGACAATGCTGTGAGAGTCCTAAGTCAATTAACTTTTTCCTTTCTTCATTTGTTATAGCCCTTCTAAACATTCCAGGGTATCGTTTATAAAGAGAACCCCTAAAGAGTCTTAGGTAGTTTCCAACCTAAGAATATCAATAATTTGTTTAAATAATAATAGAAACATTTAGTATTTACGTACTTCGGATCCGACACAGTAATATTCTCCATTTTCTTCCAGTTGGAAACTGATTGGTTTATCACCATAAGTTCGAAGACTCATTTTTAATATCTGGATGTATAAATTTTTATTTTAAATTACAAATAGTATGAATAAGAAACAATACAGCTGTATAAAATAAATTTTATGTAAAATGCAAAACTATCAAACCGGATCAAACAACACCAACAAACAAATCTCAAATTGACAAATGACAACTAACATTGACAATTTGACAACTTGATGCCAAACGAAGTTCCAATGTTGCCAGTTTTTGGTTTGGTTTCTTTTCTTTAGAAAAATTCCCTAGAAAAATTACATTCGTTTCCAAGTTTCCTTCATTGAATAAAGAATCTACATAATATAAAATGCTAATGTTTATCTGTGTTGTCTCTACTGAAGTAACGACTTGCTCTAGAAATTTGCTTTTTTTACTAAAAGATAGCTAATTGGCTCTTCCAAAAACTGTCGTCGCCGGACTTTTTGTTTTTATTTAATTAAAAAGAAAAAAAAAGGTATTTTTTTTTCTGATGTTGTGGCGGATGCGCGAGGCTTCAACTATACATAATATAAAATCCTAATGTTTATCCGTGTCGTCCCTAGTCCCTAGTGAAGTAACGACTTGCTCTAGAAAGTTGCTTTTTTACTAAAAGATCGCTAATTGGCTTTTCTAAAAACTGTCGTCGCCGGACTTTTTGTTTTTTATTTAATTAAAAAAAGTATTTTTTTTTCTAATGTTGAGGCGGATGCGCCAGGCTTCAACTAGTATTATAATACCGTATGATCGAAAAAAACGGCGTCCAGTTGGCTTGGAAATGACGATCGATGACATTTCCCACATAATTTTACATATAAAATGACAGCGATCTTCATTTCATAGCCATCGCTGACGCCGTTTTTATTCGATCATACGGTATAAAATGCTTCAATAGATCACAAAATTACATTTGCAACAATATCGCAAATCGCAATTCCTAAAAATTCAATCTCCCTGATAGAAATCACGGTCCCAGTTTACAAAATCACAATCGCAGCAAAATCGCAAATCGCAATAACATCGCAAATCGCAACAAAGTCAAAGACAAAGTCACAAATCGCAGCTATAGTAATACTGGTTGCCTAAATTGAAACTCCCAAATAAAAGAAATCACAATCGCAGGTTGCAATCGCGATTTTAAATTCGCTGCGATTTAATCGCAGTTTGCGTTAAGTTAGGTTGTGAACTGTTATACTGAACCAAAATCGCTGGATACGCAACTACTACGACCCAGGGTGTTATCTTTTAAATTACTTTGTAGATTTTTTTCTAGTGGCGAATGTAGAATGTAGAATGAGTAAGAGGGGGGGGGGGTTAATCACTGCGACCTTAAAGATCTATTGTGCCCCCGTCCTTGAGTCATCACACAATCTATAACCCATCATACCTCTGTTGTAAAGGGGACAGGGTAATGCCATCTTCCCCTGACAACATTTCTTCTTCCGAGGGTACACACCCTTCCACGGTTGGAGTTTGGCCCTCCGTGCCGCTCTTCACAGTTGAGGACCTTGCCTCCGGCTGAGGAACCCGTGAGGTGGAGGCTGGAGGATCTGTCTCCAGCCAACCAAACCACCTCTTTAACTTGGTCTCTCCTTATTAGACCTGATACTGGTGTTGTCCCGTATCTATAATAGAGGATATGTCCCTCTTCCTCTATTGCCTCCCCTCCTCAAATCCAATTTGAGATCAATTCCTATTGTGAGGACCTGACCATGACCCTCCTCCATCAAGTTGATGACTCGCCAACTCGATGTCCTTACATTCTGACCTTGGATAAGGTTCAGCAGGTAGGTGGTGTCTTTCCCCTTGGTCCTCGGCAGAAAGACCGTTATGGCCGCCCCATTAAAGATGTTTTCTCCCTTCACTGCAACCAGTTCCGGCCCTTGCTAATTTTTAAGCTTAGGTGCGATTTCCACCAACCAATTCGCCGATTCTTGAGATACACAATCTATGAGGATCATGCCCACCCGAAAGTGTATCCCGCAAAACGCAGCTGACCCACATTTTGTAGATCGTTCTGTTGCGATCCGATCGCCACTACTTTGTCCAGTATAGCCTCTTCTAGAGACGTTTGCTGGTCGGTGGTCAGAGCAACCTCTGGGAAATCCTTTGGTAGCACCGCCATTTTCACTTGTCCAGCAATAGCGGCAAAGCTGGTGATACATCCCTGCTTGCCTCCCGGTGTTGGACGGCTTTCCATCCAAGCTTTTTTCTCTCCCTGCCGGAGAAGAGGTGAGAGGTTCTCGCTCCCTCTTTTACCCTTTGATGGAGATGAGTCAGGTTGTTTCTTGGTTTCTTTACTCTCCTCTTTTCGGAGGAGTGTTTTCGCTTTTGCTTCCTCTGGAGCAAGTCCTTCGTGGTGCAGTCGGAGTTATCTCCGTGCTTCTGCTCCCCTAAGACCTACTCTCCGAGGATAGTCTAGCCCGCCTGGTTGACTCAAGCCGGGTAGACGAAACGGTAGCTTATGTCACTTATTGGGTCTAGAGGTAGGCTCCCGACCCTTGCTGGATAAGGTGGTAACTTGTGTACTACTTGTGGAGGATGATCCCATGCAAGTGTCAGCGGCCCCTCCTGTAGTTTCCTTTGGATTTGGTCCCTTGGAACTTTCATTTGTAATGTTCCCATCAGTGTCGCTAGGGGCTTCCCCACAGCTTCAGCGGTGGTGGTTTTTCCTTTTTTTTTCTAGTGGCGAAAGACCCATGAGTCTTTTCATGAGATTCTCACAATAATTAAATCTATGCAATTTACTGTTGAATCCGAGGTTGAATCGAACAACTTCAATTATTATTATTATTATTTTCAGATTATCGATAAATTAGGATATTTATAATTTATCGCTTAACTGTCCGCAAATAAGCTGGCGAATAATTTATGCAAGGTATTGTAAAATGCACATGGAATTCAGAATATAATTGATCCTAAAATCTTACTTTGGACGACTTTCCAGTACGACCTTTTAAATATTAGATAACTTCTTTTTAGCGAAAGCGCAATTGATTCCCGGGCAATACCCAGCCCCTGTTGGATTACAAATGTTACATAAAAATGTACATGTGAAATTCTGTAATATTAAATAGTTTTATTTTAATAATAGGTATTTCACATATCTAACTAGTGTAATAATGTAGGCGAAGAAGCTGCATTGACAACTAATTATGCTTTTGTGCAATCTAAAATTCAAACCAAACGAAGCAACGGCGAAGCTTCCATTGATGCGGGTGATGATCTTCTAAATATTCAGTGGCGGCTCGTGGTCGTTATTGTAGGGAGGTCAATATCTAAAAATATTGCGTCGATTTTTTTTAAGACGCGCCCTCGGACGCTCCCAAATTTAATTGGTTTCTTACAAGGTACTTGTACGTTCAGTTAAAGGAAAATAAATCTAAAAATAATTATAAATCCTATTAAAATGAAACCTCCCTTTACATTTTTAAACAGGGGGTTTAGTGCCATTTCACTGAAAATACAGTCAATGTTCTTTACACAAATTTTCCACGGTAGGATTTAAAATACACATAAATAATAATGTCACAAAAATATAAATGCATTTATACACAATTCAAAAAGTTTTATTTCACATTTCCTTTATATTTTAAGTCAATGCGGCGTTCTTTCTTTAAACGTTTTTCGAAATTCAAGCAATTTTCTTTTAACCGCACGATTTCACAAACTAAACACCATGTTGTCTATTTTAAAATATCTGTTCCAGAATCAGTCAACCACAGTTCATCATTTATCCATAACCAGAAAATTATGAAATATTACCTACACCAATTTCGCGCTACACCTCAAACTAGATGGGATTTCTTTCGATATTAAATTAATTAATTATTAATTATTCGTATTTATTCGTATTCAGAAAAATTAAAAACTATTGAAGAAGGACGTCCAAAGCCATATTTGGGATATTAATACTAAATTAAAAACGTGTATTCGTCATTTTAGTGAAAAATGTTTATAAAAGTGAACACTGGCTATGTGGTTGTAAGGCACTCAATAAACTTTTTTGTTGGCTTTGTCTACTATTTTATCTACACAGCTTTGTTTTTTTACCTAAATTTAGTTCTTTTTTTAACTTGGTTTGATTATTTTTTAAGCTGTTACATTTTTTGTATATTCTATTTTTGTAACTTCAAAATTAAAGACTTTAATAAAAAAAAAGAAAAAACAAATTATTGTGTTGACAAAATGTTAATTGCAGTTACTTATTACATCCCCGTGTATTGATGACACGCTACGCCGCTGAAACCAAGCCATATCCAGGCTTGGTCATTTGGGGAAATTGTACTGATATAAATAGAACTTTTCTACTACAAAAAAGATGTATCCGAAATATATTTGAGATAAGCCGTTAGATAGAAGGGTATATTGATGCTTACAGCAAGCGCGGTTTTAGGGAAGGGGTGATGGGGGTAATTAGCCGTCCCCTAGACCGACCAAACTTCAAAAAAAAAAAAAATTAGTAAGTTTAAATTTCTAGCTAGGTATATTCTTTGAGTTTAAAGCTTCATTCAGAACCTCGAAATCAGTGGAATAAATTAGTAGTTTCAATTAGTCGTAGAAGTTTGTACACCTAATTTTAATGTAAGCATTCAGAACGTTATAATTAATGGTAGTAATTTTCAATTAGTGGAAAAAGTTAACAAACTTTTGACTTTTCCACTAATTATACTTTAAAATTTGCGACAAATGTCATTTTGTCCTTTGATTATCATCCGTCATGACAAAATTTGGTTAGACATCAAAAGTTTATTGTTTTATAAGCTAAATATTTGGCTTTCTCTATGGATACCACTGACTACTGGAAGCTGTTGCTAGGATCATCTCCTGGAAACTTATATGGTGAAATTTTGATAAAATAATTTAGTATACACTAAAAACACGGTATGTCGCTAGTGGTAGGAAAAATAATTTTTAGAGGTTACTAGTTTATTTGGTTGCCTGTGATATGCATATACAAGGTGTTTCCTAATTAATCTAAAAAATAAAAAAATCGTTAGAAAACGAATTAAGGCGGGCTCTTAATAAGTATATTTATTTTTTTCTCGACAACCGTTTGATGAACAAGAAAAACTCAAAAGATCAATTTTGTTGAAAAAGGCCTTAGGGCCCGACCACATAAAAAAATAGACCCTGAATAAAGTGCAATTGAACTTTAAAGCTTCATTCAGAACCTCAT